AAACCTTGAAAGATGAATATCTTTCCGTGATTCCCGAGTTAATAGTTTACCCGCCAAAATTTTCACTGCCTCGTGAAAAAGTTAATAATTTACCCGTTAAAAATTTACACGGGGCCGTACGTGTTACCCGAGAGTACGGGAAGGTTGAATCTGAATTTGCCGCGTCACCCGTTGGCGTGGAACACTACAGCAAAATTTCAGCCGCCTAGTTTTTGTAGTTCCCGAGTTGAAAGTGCGGAACAAAATGTGGGAAACACACACAGAGACAACCCCGTGACAACATGCGTTTTGTAACGCTGTTACACACCACAAAACGCATAAAAAGAACTCTTTTGTGGGCAAAAAAACATAAAAAATAGCAGTAGAGAGAACAAACATCAAGCACCTATCTTCACGAAAATATATTCAGGAAAAATTGAGCCTTGTACAAAAAAGTATTTCATATATAACCGGCCATCTGCTACTTCCTTATATAGTAACAACTAACTACAGCCTACCGGAGCTTATCAAGTTCTAAAAATAACTTCACAGTCCCAAAACGCACAAGGGACAATCCTTTTTTGCTTTCATCACATTGCGAAGCCAAACCGAAACGAGCAAAAATACCGCGAAAGATCCTTCCCCCCCCCCACGTCTCCTTCCCCCTCCCCGTCCCATAAGTGTGGTTACTCGCTGCCCGTTTTTGCTGCTGTACAAATGCAAAAATTAACCAGCTCAAAACCACAATCAGTGTTGTCATCGATCAAAACCACAATCAGTGTGTCATCGATCGCCTACACTTTTAGTAAATAATGCAGTTCTTACAACTATCGCCTGCCCGTAGCTAGCTCATTATAACAAATTTCATTTCTGCATCTTGTCTGCTGAAAAACTGCATTGCTTTCATTTGAACCTGAAAATTTTCTTTGTCGAATTTTTTGGGACGAATCGCTGGAATTCTTGCATTTTTCTTTTCTTCGCTTTATTTTAGTATTTTGGCCTGTCACCAAAAAATTCATTTTATTCTGAAAAAAAAAAAAAAACAGCTGGAAAAGTTACCCGTTCCATCTCCAAATGTATCCAGTGTCGCTGCCTTCTTTTCGTGTTTTCACAACAACCTCACCTGCTACCATGAATGCCGAGTAAAAACCGACACCAAATTGCCCGATTATGCTTTCCGCGGAAGATGCAACGCCTTGCGATGATTGCTCGGCAACAAATTCCTTGGAACCTTCAAGAAACACGGGGACTTCGTAAGAAACAACGAATCACAAAATAATAATCAGACAAGATCTGACGTTAATTTTGTAATTTCAATACATTAGACCGTCAGAGTCATCCAGTATTAGCCGCTCGTAAAAATACACATGGCTTATTTTAACGGAGGTTTTTCCTGCTTATTTCTTTTTCTTTTGAAGCGGCTGTTAATTTTTTTGCAAATATCACTTCCACTATTCCTTGACATCCGAAGTCCATCCACCGTCAGCAAAACCAGCAATGTGTCCTGTCAGTGAATTTAATATTTCTCTAATGATCGCAATAACATCCCTGTGTGCCGGTTATTTGACAGAGCGCTTGAGCATCGAAGAATGCAAGGAGCATTTCTTTGGTTCCTAATAAGCATATGGCCAAAGACAGACGACACTCCAAGCATTCTTCGATTCAGTGCTTTTCCCCTCACAGCTGGCCACGTTTCGCATCCGTACGTCGTCATTAAGCAACAAAAGAGATTTGCATAAGCAACAAGAAGTAATTTACCTGACTTAGCAATTGTACCAAGGCAATTTACCAAATCCTGCCGGTCCATTCCAATTCCATTGTCTTCGAAGACAATTAGCCGTGCATTTTCATCTGTTGTTATTTTGATTTCGTACGGGATATTCGTATCCTCACCGGACGCCAAATGCTTGCATCGTCTTTTCTCCAACGCGTCACTTGCATTCGAAACCAGCTCTCGGATAAATACCTTCAAATTTTATATTTTAAACTAAAATTTTGGTGGTTAATAATTATAAAGGGCTGTGAAAAAAGATAAAAATGGAAATGTTAACAAAATTATATGCAAAATCACGCTGTTCTCGTGAAAAACATCACTTTCCATATCCTACAAACCTGAAAATCGAGAGGAGCGCGATTTTATGTATTTTGTTAGGATCGCTCGGACTACAACCGTGCAATCCATGAACGGGGAACAGCCACGTCGGGCCTTTCTACATGCCTCCCGCTTCTAGGAACTCCACCAGCTTCCGATAACTGTCCGAGCTCTCGTCTGCTCCCTCGATGGTATCACCTGCTGGCATATGATATCAGTGTGTTTGTTATATAAAGCAAGAAACATCTTTCGACTTGTCGGACCAAAAAAAAAGATGGGATTAGTAAATGTCCAAAAATTTACCTCCTGATCAGAATATAGCGATTTTGCAACAATATCCAGTAGATTTTTTGTTTCTGCTTGAAATTCCAAACGTTCCGCACTGGCAGATGGCTTGCCAGCCGCACCAGCTGTGGCGCAGAAGAAACGTGTGTTTGAAGGAGTAGCAATTATAGCATACGACAATGGGCGTACGCGCAAAGTTCGCGCAGATCGAAGCAGAACAGTAACAGTTCGCCGAGCAGCCATTTATACTGAAACAAACAAATGGTTCACTTTCAAAGACCTGTGTGGGAAAGTATATAATAAGCACTTGGAACACAGAGGAAAGTACATAATAAATAGGGCTCACGTACGGGCACGTGAAAACTATGGCGGGAAAATTCATAACTCGCGAATGAAATAAATGGTAACGCGCACCAGACTAGCCGGTGCGATCATGCGTTTTGTGCAATTCAGCCCATCGAACGATTGCCTTTTAATGATTTTCACTGCTTTATGCAAAAATAGTTCAAACACTGAAAAACAGTTAAAAATTCCACGCACCAGCGTATGAAAGCTGAATTCGAAATCTTGAAGGATGAATATCTTTCCGTGATCCCCGATTTAATAGTTTAC